CCCCAAAACCCCAAAACCCCAAAACCCCAAAACCCCAAAACCCCAGATCATTAACTTATTATTGAAACCTAGAATATTTGATAAGGTCCACCTGAAGTCTATTATGAAGATTAACTAGAGCAGTTCAGCAACATTCATAGGCATTTCATCTATCTGGATGGAGTAATATTGCTCAATGTCTCTTAGAATTCTCACATCATCACTGGTTGCGAAATTAATGGCAACACCTTTTCTTCCAAATCTTCCTGAGCGGCCTATTCTATGGATATAGAATTCTCTGTTGAGAGGGAGGTCATAATTGATAACAAGAGACACCTGTTGGACATCAAGTCCTCTTCCCCAAATATCTGTGGTGATCATGACCCTGCTTTCGCCAGACCTGAAGTCTTCCATAATTGAGTCTCTTTCTTTTTGTGGCATCTGCCCGTGCATGTGAGAAACAGTAAAGTTGTTATCTCTCATTTTGTCGCTGAGCCATTCCACTGCTTTTCTGGTGTTACAGAAAATCACTGATTGGGTGATTGTCAAAGTATCGTAAAGATCACACAGGGTTGCAAATTTATGCTCATCCTTGTCAACATCAATAAAGAACTGCTTGATTCCATCTAAAGAGAGCTCGTCTCTTTTAACTAGAATTTTGATGGGATCATTCATAAACTTCTTAGTCATATCCAAAATTTCTTGTGGAAGAGTGGCACTGACAACGACCCACTGAGTGTCATAAGGAAGGAATTTGTAAATGTCATAGACCTGGTCTTTAAATCCTCGGCTCAGCATTTCATCGGCTTCATCTAATATAAGCATTTTGAGACTGTCTGTGTCAAATTTCTTCCTCTGAATCATATCATAGACTCTTCCAGGTGTCCCTGAGACAATATGGACTCCATGGTCGAACTGGAACTCGTCGTCCTGCACACTTTTACCACCTGCTCAGCAGTGAACATTGAGACTCATATAGTCACCAAGTGCGAGAATAACTCTCTGAGTTTGCTCAGCGAGTTCTCTGACCGGACTAAGAATAAGCACTTGAGGTTTCCTCAGCTTTGCATCGACAACTTGTAAAGATCCAAGGCCAAAGACACAGGTCTTTCCTGTTCCACTCTGAGACTGGACAATGACATCCCTCCCTTTAATAATTGGAAGGATAGCTTTTTGCTGGATCGCTGATGGTTTATCAAACCCATATGCATACACTCCTACAAGAGTAATCAAAATGATGCTTACCTCTTAGGAGGTCTTCTTTAAGCCCAAGGTCGTCAAAAGACCTGACAGTCTCGACCTTCTCAGACATTTCGATGTCTAAGTCTCCATGGAGTAAATCTACCTCTCTGTCTTCCATCTTTTGGCTAAATTTTGAAATTATTATTAATTTTCAATCGAAAATCCAAAAGGAGGGGTTTTGGGGTTTTGGGGTTTTGGGGTTTTGGGGTTTTGGGG